TGGAGCCCTTGGTCAGTAGCCTGTGCTCGTCTAAAATTTTAAAAACTGCTTCTAGATCGACTAAGTGCTGCTGTTTGTCGCGACTGTAGACGAGGATGTCGTCGAGGTAAACTATCATGCATTTATCTATGAGTGGCCTAAACGCCTCGTTCATGGTCATCTGGAATGTCGCCGGTGCGTTGGTCGGCCCGAAAGGCATCACTGTGTACTCAAATGACCCGTACCTAGTCCTAAATGCTGTCCTGGCGCAGTCTGAGGGTTCGACCCGAATCTGATGGTAACCTCCCCGTAAATCTATTTTCGAAAAGACCCGTGCTTTTCGCAATTGATCTATCAGTTCGCCGGCACAGGGAATGGGGTATCGCGATTTGACTGTAACCCTGTTCAGTGCCCTGTAATCGATGCACATGTAAAAAACTTCGTCCTTTTTTGGTGTGAACATGATTGGTGCGGCGAACGGTGACGAGCTCGGTCGGATGAAGTTTTTCTCTAACAGGTAATCTAACTGCTTCCTCTGTTCGTCGAGCTCGGGCTGTGTCAGTCTGAACTGTCGCTGTACGGTTGGCTGTGCCCCGGGTTCTAACTCTATTCGGTGATCGTGTACCCGTTGAGGTGGAAGTCCCTCCGGTAAGTCATCGGGGAAAATTCCCGGGTACCGTTTCAATAGTTCATGTAGTTCGGGCGGTACCGCTGCCAGCACTTTCTGAAAATCGCTCGGTTGCTCTGCTTCTTCTACCACTGCGATATCCTCCGCGTACACGTCACCTCCAGCGGCGACAACCCGTTTCATTGTGATTGCGTTGACGTGGACCGTTGAAGACTCAGGCGACTGCCAGCTAGGTAGTTCAACCCAGTTACCGCTACCTCGCACAGTGCAGCTACCCGTCGTCCTGTCGATTCGCGGGTTGTACCGTCGCAGCCAATCACGTCCCAGTAAAATGTCGTGCCCATCCAATGTCGTCGCGAGCATTTCCTGTGTAAACCCGAAGTTCTCCCCGCAGCGGACTTTTACTCTCTCCACCTTATCCCGTATGGCCAGCGGTGTTCCGTCAACTAAGCGTGGGTCTATCTCCGGTAAACACCGACTAAGTGTCAGTTGCAGCTTCCGTGTAGTCGCGGTATTAACTAAGCTGTGACTTGCGCCTCCGTCCATAAAAATCTTCACTTCTACTCCCTGTATTTTCCCATGGATCAGTACTGGGCAATCCGTCATTGTACCCTCCTTATTCATCCGAGCCCGATCGATGGTGTGAATCGGTACCGTGACTCGGTGAGGTTGGGCGAGCAGGTAATCTCGTCAGTAGTTGGCCCAACTTCGACTGACTGCTGGCGTTTCCCTGCCTCTGAGACTCCCTCTCCTGCTCTGCTCCGCGGCGCCTCAGCTCCTCTGGGCATTCGCTCTTGCGATGGCCCGGCCGATTGCAAGCAAAGCAACGCCCCTTAAACGGTGCGGCAACCGCATTCTTCGCAACGGCATGTACGGTGGCATGCTCGATCGGTCCCCGAGGACGATGTCTGTAGTAGGACCCCGGTCTTGGACGGCGCAAAATGTCGATTTTCTCGGCGAGCGCGAGGATCTCGTTAAAATTCGAGAGCCCGCGTAGCATGATTTCGTGCGAGATGTCTGGCTTCAGATCTCCGACGTAACGGTCCACCCGCTCCGCTTCGTGCATGTAGCCGACTTGCTTGCATAATGCGAGAAAACCGCTCGTGTAGTCTTGAACTGGCCCGAGCTGCCGCCAAGTACGGAGTCTCTGACGCGCTGAAATGGAAGCCGCGATCAGCTCGAAGCGCGCCCGAAGCCCTGCGCACCACGCATCCCACGTGCTGTACTGGGCTGCCTCGCAAAATGAACTCCAGGTGACGGCTGGGCCCGTGGGCCCTTCCTCTTGCGACGGTGGCTCGTAGGCGTGTGGCGACGTCACGATGACTCGCCACCAGTCCATGGCGGGGCCCCTTAGCAGCGAAACGGTGTAGCGAATCTTCGATGCGTCCGACTCGACGTAATTCGCGTCGAAAAAATAGTTCATCATGAAGACCCACGATCGAACCGTCGGACCTCCACGCTGGCTCGGGTCGAAACAAGGCGGGCGCTGCGGCTTGAGTGGCATTTGTCGAGAATGAAGATTAGGGTCAAGGGTTTGACCTAGGCGAGGGTGACGAGAAGGAAAGTGGCGAGGGAAAAGTGCAAGCCAAAAGAGGGTGTTCACTATGGAGCGAGCAGTACAAATAGGCAAGAATGAAGAAAGGCAAATGGTACACCACCTAGCAGGAAACTAAGATAACTACACTAGGCTACTGTAGGCATTTATATGATATTATACAAATACATTTCAACACACCCCCTAAATGCCTACAGTGGAAACCCGTGTGTAGCACAAAGTCTGCAGGGGTACAACAGGTGCAGTGGAAGAAACAGAAACAAGCAAGAGCAGTAGTAGCCGGTGCAGGAGTGGCAAATCCAGCTGTAGCACGCCCTCAGCCAAAGCAGAAACGGGTGTAGGGGCGGCAGGTCGCCTGAGGAGCAGGCTCTGTGGCTGCAACATGCAGCAGGACAGTAGCGGCTCGACGGCAGCACCTGCAGGCCCCAGCAGCAGAAAGCAGAAACAAAGACAAGTGGCGGCAGGGGCGGCAGCAGGAGGTGCCACGGTAGCAGCGGGTGGCAGCTGCAGATGCTTGACTGTTTTCCCACCACCCTCTCTTACCCTCCCCCCCACAGCAGCACAAGCGGCAGTGAGAGAGAGAGGAGGGGTGGCTGCTGGCTTTGCAGAGTCTCTCTCGCCACCCTCTCACACTCCCCCCGTTTCCCTTCACCCTCCCCCCCCTTCACGGCGAATCCCGCTGAAGGGAGGGGTAGGACGGGCTGCAGGCAACTCACACCCGCCACCCCCACATCTCCCTCCCCCCACGGCAAAAGCTGCGGAAGAGAAGGGGGGGGGCGGTGTTAGCTGCTGCTCACGCAGGTGCTGGCGACGGGCGCTGGTGTTGGCGCACGGCCGTGCGCAAATGCGCACGGTCGTACACAGCTGCGCGCAGCAATGCGCGCCCGTACGCAGCTGCGCGCGGCTGCTGCTGTGGTCGTGACAGAACGGGGTGGGGCAGGTCGGGACGGGGCGGGTAGCGCTGGGCGGGTGACAGGGCGAAGGAGCAACGGGGCAGTACAAGCCGCCCAGCTCGTCGCCATGACAGCAAAAAACTTGCCGTCGCGCCCGTCACGTCAGTCGCAACTAAAGGCGCGACGGCCGCCATGAAACAAGGAATACGCGGTGGGCCCATGGAGAAATTAAAAACAGTAGGCCAGGATATTACATGCTCTGATACCATGTCGAGAATGAAGATTAGGGTCAAGGGTTTGACCTAGGCGAGGGTGACGAGAAGGAAAGTGGCGAGGGAAAAGTGCAAGCCAAAAGAGGGTGTTCACTATGGAGCGAGCAGTACAAATAGGCAAGAATGAAGAAAGGCAAATGGTACACCACCTAGCAGGAAACTAAGATAACTACACTAGGCTACTGTAGGCATTTATATGAAAGTATACAAATACATTTCAACAGCATTGGTGCCATGATGTCATGATTGCCGCTTGTTGCTGCAAACTCCACGTTCCGACGAGCTTCGCAAGGCTCACGTGGGCTTGGTGCGGCCCTATTTCTCTCCATGCCAGACATTGAGTGAGTGGCACCATCGCTGGCTACGCCTGAGCGTTGTCCCACGCTGACGATCGGCTCCTCTGATTGTGCAGGTGCATTTGTTGGTGTTGGTGCATTCGCTGTCGATTGCTGGCGAGCGGAGTCGCGTTCCGCCGTGAGTGTAGCAATTTCGAGGGCCGAATCTTCGAGTTGGCGCACGAGACGGTCGAGGTGCGCTTGCGTCAGTGTCGCGAGAGTAATTTCAGCCATGGCTGGGGTGTCGAGCAAGCTCAGCGAGAGCCTCTGTCGTGGCCGTGCGTGCTTACGAGAGAGCACTTCGAGCGGCGGTGCTTGTTCGCTGAGAGACGTCTACCCCCCCCAAAAATTGAGATAGTGAGGAAGCGAATGTGTGGGTGCGGTCCGAGAGGAGATCGTAGGCTCTGATAACCAAGTGTTACGAGTGCAATCGAGAGAGCGAGCGAGGATTGCACTATCGAAGCAAGAATACAATGAGCGAAGGATTGAGAGAAGAATATATAGCGAAGCTACAGTGGTAACGGTAACATGTGGAAAATGGGGTGCGCGACGGGCCTAGCGCTGAGGTTGGGAATTGTCGAGGCGGAGGTCCGGAGCGCGGGTTACCAACCGAACCGTGATGTTGGGTCGCGTCGTGAACAGTGGCGGGAATAGTGTCGAGGCGAATGTCGCGAGTGGTAACGGAATATTGTTGGGTGCTGTTGGCGGGAAACAGTGGTGTACGCGCTGAGCACGGAGGAAAAGGAATTTTCCTTACAACAATCAACAACCACCCAGTACCCCGCCCTAAGGATGCCCCTCAGAACCCATGTTCCTTTGCACCTTGCCCCCCAACCCCAACCCCCGAACCCCCTCCCTTTCCCCCTCCCCTATCCCCTCACAGCCGTGCATCCGACAATTACGGGGCCTCCACCCACAGAGCCCCCCCCTCATCCACCCTGTCCTCCCGTTACAATCAATAATACCCTTTGTTCCAATCAGCCACGTCCGCTTCGCGCCTCGTGCTCCACACCTCATCGTGTGCCTTCCACTACCGTTCCACACCGCACCTCCCCAACCGAACCATCCTCCCCTCGCCCCTTCCGTATTTCCCCCGCAGCCCTCCCCATTTGCCAGCTCACGCATTTCCAGTCTCCACCAATCGGCCACTTCGATCTGTTGCACGTCTGATCGAGTCTGTCAGGGGGGTTACGAAGAGGATCCAGCCTTTCGCGGCTACTCTTCAACAGAAGTTTCGAGGCGCCTGGAACACAGAATTGCATGGAACATATCTCAACAATTTCCAAATTCTGTAGGCGCTCATGAGCGACCACACGGGTACACTACACTACACTGAAAATGTCGGTTGGTTACACCTCGTATTTACCGGGGTGCCCCAAAGGTCAGCGAGGTGTGTGGGGGGGACAACTTCACCCCTCCGTTCCCCGCCGTTCCCCTCCGTTCCCCTCCCCTCCCTGTCCCTCCCCCACTCACTGGGCAGCAGCAGGTAGCATGACCACAATCACTCCTCCCTGGCCAAAAGCGACCAGCCTAGCTAGCTTCTTCCTCTCATTGCACCGCAAAGAGCAGGTCACGTCACGAGCGTTCTCTCGCTCTAATACCTGCTCAAACGCAACGCAGCACAGGCATTGCCCGTGCTCCCGTCAACCTCACGCCTTGTTTCTCCTCCACGTCGTCAGAGGCCGGAAAAAGGCGTGTGTGCCTCACGCAACCACCAAACTCCGAACACGCAACAACTGACTCAGACCGCGGCTAGTAACCATCGGCGACCTCACCTGATCACACGCCATGGCCCACTCGACGCGCTTCGCCGTTCTCGCACTCGCCGCGCTCCTCGCACTGCTCCCCGCGCACGCAGCGCCCGCCCCGCCGCCCTGCGCGCTCACGGGGCTTGCGCCAAAGAAGCCCGTCGTTCCGCCGTCGCGGTGCCCCGCGGCGGCGGAGCTGTCGTGCTGCGCGGACTGCTCCGACACGAGTCTGGCGCTGCAGCTCGTTTCCACCAACCTCAAGGATGTCGTTCAACAGATCGACTCGTCCCTTGGCGACTTCATCGATGCGGGTCTCATGGTAGGCTTTCCTTTCCGCGCGCAGCATTTTTCCTGTTGTTGCACGTAGCACCACCATTTCCTCCACCATGGCACAAGTCGTCAACCCGATCGATCCGGCGCTCGGTTTTTGATCGATGGTGGTCTCATGGTAGGCTTTCCCTTCAATCCCCGGTTGTTCTTTTAGAGCAAAACGTGGTAAGGCGAATCAAAAGTCTGTCGAACAATGCTGAGTAGAAAATAGGCCATACTCGGTGTTTCCCGCCTCTCGACGTGTGTCTGCCCGCCTGCCTCCCTCCCCCCTCATTCCTCTCCCTCCGGCTCCCCCTCCCCTCTACGCCCACTTTCTCCCTTCGTTCCGCGCCGCCAGGTGTGCGAAGCGTTCAAGCCGTACCCCAAGTGCATGCTGATGATTGAGGAGATCGTCTGCGGCACCACGTGCAACCCAGGCGAGTGCTGCTTCTTCGCATCGCAACGCTGCCTTGCCGCATCGCAACGCTGCATGTTAAGAGTTGTGCGCAACGTGTTATTGGCGAATGGTTTTTACTAGTGCAATCTAGCGATGTTTGTAATGATTAATGGAAACGCATGCATGTTTACTTTGTTGTTGCTCTGCAGATTCGGGAAGCTACGTTTCTAAGTCCCCGTCGGGGGAATTCATGATGACGGTCTGCCCGGAATTTGCGAATGCGACCTACGACACGTGCAAGGACGTCGAAAGTAAGAACCTTTCTAAAAAAGAATGTTCGCCGAATGCCACGCGGTTCGATTTCAGCGCACCAACTGTAGCTGGTTGCCGTTTTCCCCTTCGTTGTTGTTTCTCACTTCCCTCCCGATGCACCTGCAAAAAAAATAATGATGCCATTATACATCTAGCAATCCGACGCGCGGGTCCTGATGAGCCCAGGGTTTACAAAAACGCTCTCAAGGTCGCAGCCGTCGCCAGTGACGCTGCCTCCCCTCCCTGCTTACCCGCCGAGGTTCCAAGCCTGGATTTCTCTCCGCCTGCCCGTTCAGGAACTTGGGGATAGTTTCTACTCTTATCATCCTCCCCTGTCCCTCCCTTCTCCCCTCCCGCAGTCAGTGGCTTCGCGCTCAACATGTTCATCCTGACGCAGACACCCATGATGACCATGGTCGTTTCCAATGTCGCTGCCCCACTCACGATCTTCCGCGTTTCCACTCAAATCCATTCAATCCATTCCCCGTGTGCTACACTCCTCCCGCGTTGCCTTCTCCCTTGTTTCCTTCCTGCAGTCAGTGGCTTCGCGCTCAACATGTTCATCGCTGACGCAGACACCCATGATGACCATGGTCGTATCCAGCATTGGTGTTTTCACTCACGTTTTCAACCAAATCCATTCCTTGTGTGTTCCCCTTCCGCAGTCAGCGGCTTCGCGCTCAACCTGTTCATCCCCAATGCGGACGCCATGATGACCATGGTCGTTTCCAATGTCATCGCAGTCATGGGTGTGACGAACTTCAACATCACCATCGCTCCTGTGAGTGCATTGACTCCTTATCGTCGTGCTGAATGTCTGCCTATCACTGCATCGTCTCTCTTAATTGCTGAGCAAGGCTGTCTCCTGTACTGCCACCAGCAGCCATCGTCAACATACCTAAGTGTTCGAATCACATGTTTGTTGCCTAAACATCATGTATCAATGTATTAATTGTTTCCGTCATCACAGTCAACTCTATTCATTATTTTTCCTCTGCTCCTGTGAGCCTGCTTTGCCTACGATAGTGTGTCTACTTATTTCATTCCCTATCATTTCCCAGTGTATCTACTTCAGCGTTTCATCATCTCTTTCCGTTCCGCCTTTCCTACTCCGCACCACAGGGCGCCTGCTTCACGGGAGCCACGGCCACGCCAGCCTACACCCCCTGCTGTGACCCGCTCGCCGTTGACCCCAAGTGCCCCGCGGGGTCAGTGGATACAGTAAAGTATGCACCCTACATCAACCGCAACATTGATTCTGCTGCCTGCATGACCGGTGCACCCATGCCCGCCCCTGGCCCTTCCACCTCCACTCCTCCCGCGCCTGGTCCTGCTCCGCCTACTGCCGCTCCTCCTACTGTCGCTCCGCCCACTGCCGCTCCGCCTACCGCTGTTCCGCCTACTCCTGCTGCGCCTGCTCCTGCTCCGCCTGCACCCACTGCAGGAGGCCCCCCACCTTCTCCCCAAACGCCAGGAGTGGCGCCTAGCACCCCTCCTGCCTCTCCTAGCCCCACGCCTGTGAGCCCCTCGCCCCCACCACCTCCGCCCAAGTCTGGGGCTGGTTCCGCCGCTTCGGTGATGTCGGTGGTGGCTCTGGCGGTTGGTGCTGCAGTAGTGTTTGTGTAACGGGGGGTTGGTACACTAGTTTTGGTCCTCATAACGAAGGTGATTCAGGAAGGACTTTCGGCACTGGTGGAGTTTTGTCTGGTTCAGTGGCATGGGGGTGCACACAACCAGGTTGATGGTTGTTGAAGGTTGGCTAATTCCGTATCAGCTCAGAAGTTCTTTACCACTTCAAGACCACATTTTAGACATGGTAGATGGTGCAAATGAATTGACTTCAACCCAGGTGGCTACCTGAACTCTGAAAAAGGTTTGCCAGGTCTTTGAAACTGTTTCTCATTCCAGGTGGCATCCATTTATTGATAAGGACTCTGGGGGTGCACTTGAGCTCAGCAGGTTCCTTGAGCTCGGCAGAAATTATCAAATTGGCATGAGATAACTACTACTGGTATTGGGGGGCATTGTTTCGTTGTGCGGCTGGCGAAATGACCGAGCCACGCGATGTCCGGTTTGTTCGCGAAAAGTGTCGTGCATGTGCGACTCTTGCAGGCGAAGCTTTCTTTGCTTGCGCGAATCGTTCTGCGAGTCCCTCCTTTGCACTCAACGAGCAGCCCAAGTCGGGAAATCGCCCACGGCAGATTTTTTCGCATGTCACTTCGCCGGGTCGCGATTATTCTCGCGAGGGGTCACGAACGACAAGGAATGTGGGATTTGGGGGAAGCTCAGTCGTGACGACTCACGAGTCTAGAGAGGGGGAGAAAGATTTAGGGTCCAGCCGTGACGGGCCCAGGTGGTGAACGACCTGACTCCGGCGCAGTCTCTTCACGGACGGTGGCGGGACGATCATGTTGGCCGGCCGGCGGTCCTGGGAAGTTCCAGCCGGCCGACGTCGCAACGTCGCTCCAATATACCCAGGGAGACGACGTCCGGCCGTGAGATCTGAGGGAATTCCATGACACCTACAGTGCGAGCAGTCTCTGCAGAGACATTCCGAAATGACACCGGAATTCTTTTCTGGAACATGATGTTCACGACATGGAAGAGGCATTCCCGTGCTCCCGTAAACCTCGCGCCCTTGTTTCTCCTCCACGTCAGTATAGAGGTCGACGAAAGCAGGTGTGTATACGTTCGTACTGAGTAACTAGTAAGCGGAACTATTCGAAGTTTGAAACTCCGAACTTCCGCCAAACACGCAGTCCGGCTAAGTGCCTCCGACCTGAACTCGCTAGCCTGGTCAGACCCCATTCGCCATGGCCCATTCAACGCGCTTCGCCGTTCTCCCAGTCGCCGCGCTCCTCCTCGCGCTGCTCCCCGCGCGGCATGCGGCGCCCGCCGCCGCCGATCTCTGCGCGCTCTCGGGCCTTCCGCCGAAGAAGCCCGTCGTCCCACCGCACCGGTGCCCCGCGGCGGCGGAGCTGTCGTGCTGCGCGGACTGCGCGGACACGAATCGCGCGCTGCAGCTCGTGTCGTCCACCCTCGACGACGTCGCCCAACGGATCGACCCCAATATCCCCGGCAGCGGCATAATAGATCTCAGCCCCATGGTACGCTTCCGAACAGCTGCTTCCGAACAGCTGCTTCCGAACAGCTGCTTCCGAACAGCTGCTTCCGAACAGCCGCTTCCGAACAGCCGCTTCCGAACAGCCCCATGGTACGCTGTCCCCGCGTTCCGTTGCTGCCAGGGGGTTCCGTTGCTGCCAGGGGGTTTCGCTGCTGCCAGGGGGTTCCGCTGCTGCCAGGGGGTTCCGCTGCTGCGGTCCCCCACCTCCGGCCGTCTTGGTTCCATCGGATCCGTACATCGCGACCGAACATCTGCTGCTGGAATATCACACCTCCACCGAACTTTCCGCACCGGGTGCATGGGTTCCAATGTTAGTTGACTTTGTCAATGCAGCCTAACTAGGGTTGCAACATGCAATCGCCCTCCCTCCCCCCGCCCTCCTCCCCATCTTCCCCCCTCGCTCCACACTCCTCCCTCCTCCCCCCCCAATTCTTCCTTTTCCTCCACGTGCCACCAGGTGTGTGATGCGTTACAGCCGTACCCCCAGTGCATGCTCATGATCGAAAAGATAATTTGCGGCGCCACGTGCAACCCAGGCGAGTGCTGCTTCTTTGCATCGCGTCTCGGTTTATGAGACGTTTTAGGAATCAGGTGTGCGAAGCATTTTGAAGCCGTACCCCCCCCAGTGCATGCTCATGATCGAAAGAATCATCTGTGGCGCCATGTGCAACCCAGGCGAGTGCTAAATGCATGCTGATGACTCGCCAATGCACGCTAAATCCTTCAGCCGTACCCCCAGTGCATGCTCATGATCGAAAGCATCATCTGGGGCGCCACGTGCAACCCTGCTGCTTCTCTTCGTCACTTCGCATCTTCGCATCGCTGCCTCTTTCTATCATATTATTGATTTTCCTAGTATTTTGTTTTGAGGGGTTTCAGAACCTACCATATGGGTCCTTCTTCAATTCGTTGCTGAGAAGGCGCGGCCACATTGGCCACATTAACATTTCTTTCGGCTTTGTTGCTTCGCAGATTCGGGAACCTACATTGTGAAGAAGGGGGGAGAAATCATTATGACGGTCTGCCAGGAATTCGCGAATACCGCCTACAAAGCATGCAAGGACGTCGAAAGTAAGACCGACCATGTTCCCTCTCATATAATTAAGACCGTTCCCGTTACCTCGCGGTCTTGCAGGGTCAAGAATTCGCAAAAACACCCTGCAACATCGAGGTCTTGCTCGTGTCCCTGCTCCCTCTCATACCATTCTGCCCATCTTCCCACTCAGATCGTTTTGCCCATACTTGCCTTGGCCCCTCTTTCCTTCTTCCCCTGGTTCCTTCCTTCTCCCCTTGCAGTCCAGGGCGTTGCAATGAACCAGCTCATCCCCGACGTTCAAAACATGATGGTCTATGTGACCAACTACATTGCGAGTTTCATGGGCATTGAGAATTTCAATATCGCCATCGGTACTGTGAGTGCTGCTTACTCTTTACCTTATCGTCTTTCTGCATGTCTGCTTTTCACTGCATCACCCGTTGATTTGTCATAGAGCTTGCTTGTGCAGTGTAACGCATCGTGGGTGAAGGTGACAGGCAGCCACAGTTTCCCATAATCCAACCACTAATTATTTACTGCACTCCTTTTTCTTGCCACAGCGACCATGCCTCACGGGAGCTGCAGCAGCGCCAACCTACACCCCCTGCTGCGACCCTTCCGCCGTCGACCCCAAGTGTCCTGCGGGGGCTGTTGACAAAGTCAAGTACGCGCCCTACATCAACCGCACCATCAATTCCACTGCCTGTACGGCCGGCGCACCCCAGGCCGCCCCTGCGCCCTCCCCTCCTCGGGATGCGCCTGCTGCCCCTGCGCCTGCTCCCTCCACTCCCGCCGCTCCTGCTCCCTCTGTGGTTTCTCCTGGTGCGCCTGCTCCTGCTCCGCCTGCACCCACTGCAGGCACCCCTCCGCCTTCGCCTCAAGCGCCAGGAGTGGCGCCTAGCACCCCTCCTGCCTCTCCTAGCCCAACGACTGCGAGCCCCTCGCCCCCATCCCCTCCGCCCAAGTCCGGGGCTCGTTCTGCTGCTTCTTTGATGTCGATGGTGGCTCTGGCGGTTGGCGCAGCGGTGCTTGCATGATGTGGGGGTGATAGTGCTGGTTCTTCTAAGAAATATGAATCTAGGACTCTAGTTGTTGGGGTTTGGGAGTCTTGTCCTGTGCAGTGGCACGGAACGGAAGTGTACGCGGCAATGCTGGCTTACAATGTATAAACTAAGGCCGCCATAAATAGGTTGCATGCTTTAAAACTCCCTAAGAGGCACACTGGTAGGTCTGATTTCACTGCAACTGGTAGGTTAGGTTTAGTCGCGTACAAGCCGAAAATGTCAATAGAGGGTTCCGTCCCGTTCCGTGCGGCTGGTGCCATCACCGAGCCACGGCGATGTCGGGTTTCCCTGCGAGATTTGTCGTGCGTGTGCGACACTTGCAGGCGAAGCCTTGTTAGCCCGTACGAATCGTTCCGCGAGCAGGCCTGTCGAAGTCCCTGGGACAAAAACTTGGAGTCCTGAGCTGTTCGAATTCTTGCCCTGATTTTCACGGGCGTAGGCCGAATTCAAAACTTGAAATCAGGGCTTCTTAGGAAAGTGTACTTTGGCCCTAATGTAGCACAGGAGGATTTTAACCTCTTAGCCGGAAAAGTTACACACAAACTACTCATCTACACGCCTACAGCATCTACATCGTCCGCAAAAACACAGTCGGCAAAAAATATCGGGGAGTGGGGGTTGGGTAGGGAGGGTTGGCGGCGAGAATTGGGGTGGGGGGGGGGGTCCTTCAAAACAGACACCAAAACTTTTATTCAGGGGAAGGCCCAAACGAGGCCCTTAACTGTCACGGGTGCCATGCCTATCTAGCACTTTATATGGTCGAGCTGCTCGAAACGTAGGCCGGAATGTTCAGGTCATTAAGGCCGAATGCCCTTGCTTATACAGCCCTGTCCGGGAGTCCCTATGGGTGAACGAGGAGCGTATCACGGAAAATCGCCCACGCCAGATATTTCGTATTTCAATTCACAGGGTCGTGATTTTCCTCGCGAGGGGTCATGATGAAGAATGTGGGATTTTGCGGGTGTTCAGGTGGGAGGGAGAGCGATTTCAGTGTGGCTGGCCACAGCTCACGAAGGGCCCAATGACCCAGTCTGCTGATACATCGCTGATCTTGGGAAATCGCATGAGACATATGGTAGGAGCACTCTTTTCACTCACAGCTGCTCATTCCGTAGCACAGGCGCATGCATTTCCCCCGTGCACCTTGTTTCTCCGCCTCGTCAGTAATAGAGGTTGAAAGGCGTGTCTGCCGTACGTGCATGAAAATCTGAGCCGAAACTATGTGTAGGTTTGAAGCTCCGAACTGGCACCAAACCCGCAGCCCGCAGCTAGTAGGTGTCTGCGACCAGACCAGCTGACCCCATTCGCCATGGCCCACTCAACGCGGTTCGCACTTCCGGCCTTCGTCGCGCTCCTCCTCGCGCTGCTTCCCGCGCAGCATGCGGCGCCCGCCGCGCGCTGCGCGCTCACGGGGCTTCCGCCAAAGAAGCCCGTCGTTCCGCCGCACCGGTGCCCCGCAGCGGCAGAACTCTCGTGCTGCGCGGACTGCGCGGACACGAATCAGGCCCTGCAGTTCGTGTCGTCCACCCTCGACGATCTTGCGCAGATGATCAACTATATGCTCCCTGGCGGCGGCCCCGCAGGTACGCTTATGGAGGGGCCTCAAAATTCGAACCAAGCGCTGCAGCTCGTGTCGTCTACCCTTGACGATCTTGCTGAAATGTTAAACCATATGCTCCCTGGCGGCGGCCCGCGGGTACGCTCAAATATATCTCAGCCCCATGGTACTCTTTCCCCGCGGCGGCGTTCCGCTGCAGCGGGGTCCGCCGCGGTCCCCCATCCGGGGGGGGGTCTTGTTTCAATCCCGTGCATCGCAATGCTGGTACAGTCAGAAAAATTTCTGCATTATGTCGAATCTAATACTACAAAGGCTGTCTGACAGAAAAGTGCCCAAGGCAATGCAGCAGTAGGGGTTCCAACATTAGAAGAGTTTGTTCGTAACACCCAGTGTTCCTAACCAATGTTTGCAAACCTAAGGCTGCATTGTTAGTTGATCAATGCAGCCTTAGGTTTGATAGGACTCGCCGCAGCATTGTTCCAGACAATGGCTGTTTGATCTGCTCAAGGCGGCCTTAGGGTTGCCTGTTTGACTTGGTCAATGCAGCCTTAGGGTTGCCTGTTTGACTCGGTCAATGCAGCCTTAGGGCTGCCTGTTTGACTTGGTCAATGCAGCCTTAGGGTTGCCTGTTTGACTTGGTCAATGCAGCCTTAGGGTTGCCTGTTTGACTTGGTCAATGCAGCCTTAGGGTTGCCTGTCGACTTGGTCCATGCAGTCTTAGGGTTGCCTGTTTGACTTGGTCAATGCAGCCTTAGGGTTGCCTGTTTGACTTGGTCCATGCAGCCTTAGGGTTGCCTGTTTGACTTGATCCATGCAGCCTTAGGGTTGCCTGTTTGACTTGATCCATGCAGCCTTAGGGTTGCCTGTTTGACTTGGTCCATGCAGCCTTAGGGTTGCTTCAAATCTTCCGTCAGTTTCCACCTTCCCCCCATCCCCTACTCCCCCCAATCCCCTCGCTCCACATCCCCTCCCCCCCTCTTCCTCCCCCTCCTCCCCCCCAATTCGGCATTTTCCTGCGCATGCCGCCAGGTGTGCGACGCGCTACAGCCGTACCCCCAGTGCGTGCTCATGATCGAAAGGATCATCTGCGGCGCCACGTGCAACCCAGGCGAGTGCTGCTTCTCGTCTTTGCGTCACTCATCATCTCTATTCGAGGAGTTTCAGAACAATACAGAAGTGTGCTTGGCATGTTAGCGGCATGCTTTTAGCATTTGCACAGCCACATTGGCATGCATCTAGAGAGTGCCACAATACAAAATAAATAGCTACTAGTAGTAATAACAGTAAAATTGATCCAACTTGTGATTGGTTCTTTCCTTCACAGACTCAGGCAGTTACATTGTGAAGACGGAGGCAGAAATCATCATGACGCTCTGCCCGGAATTCGCGAATACCGTCTACGAAGCATGCAATGATGTTGAAAGTAAGACCCCTTTCAAACTTGTCAACTCTTGCATCACCAACGAACGAAACCATGTAACTGCCTTACTCGCATCCATCTTTCTCGCCGTTCTCTCCTCTCCCTCCCCTCCCCCCCATTCACGCCATGATGAGCATAATAATCTCCTAACTTGCAGTCCCTTTCCTCGCGTCCCTGTTCCCACTCAGATCCTATCGTTCCGCCCGTTCTTCCCTTCGCCCCTCTTTCCCTCTTTCCTTCTTCCCTTCTTCTCCCCCTGGTTCCTTCTCCCCTTGCAGTCCTGGGCTCTCCGATGAACCAGTTCTACCCGGACGTCCAAAGCCTGATGGTCTATGTGGCTCTCTACGCTTCGAACTTCGCCTACTTGGTGGATCAAGTATATCAGAATTTCAATATCACCATCGATCCTGTGAGTCCTTACTCTCTGTGCTAAGGTGCCTCCAATCCCCGTGATCCCGTGCGCGAACACCATATACCGTGGGAAAGTGGTTATTCAGTGTGCCAGTTCATGCCAGAGCATTGCAACGTCCTTTGAGGCGCCTCAAAAGTCGTTCATGCCAGAGTATTGCATCGACTCTCAGTTTGCCAAATCGTCCTATCTCTCGCAATAACTAGTAATCCCTTTTCCTTTATTTACTCTATCCAGTTCAGTTTCTTATAATACAACCCCTCATTATAATACAACCCCTCATTATAATACAACCCCTCTATTGTGCTCCTTTTTCATGCCACAGGGTGCATGCTTCACAGGAGCAGCAGCCGCGCCAGCCTACACCCCCTGCTGCGATCCCCTCACCGTTGACCCCAAGTGTCCCCCAGGCGCTGTTGACAAAGTCAAGTACGCGCATAACATCAACCGCACCATCAACTCCACCGCCTGTAAGGCCGTTTCGCCCCACAAGACTCCCCTGCCTACTACTGCCACTGCTCCCGCGCCTGCTTCCCCTGCGCCTGCGCCTGTTTCCCCCGCGTCTGCTTCCCCCGCGCCTGCTTCCCCCGCGCCTGCTTCCCCCTCGCCTGCTTCCCCCGCGCCTGCTTCCCCGACGCCTGCTCCCACTGCTGGAATCCCCCTGGCTTCTTCTCACCCAGCGCCTGCGACTCCCTCGTCCCCTCCCCCTCCACCCAAGTCCGGGGCTGGTTCCGCCGCTTCGCTGATGTCGGTGGTTGCTCTGGCTGTTGGCGCTGCAGCAGTGTTTGTGTAAATGAAGGTGTGGGGCAGCAGTTCTGGTCCTAGTAACGAAGGCAATTCAGCTGTTCCTTATATGGTGGATGGAGTTTTGTCCTCTACTTCGGCATGCCTGGGTATGCAATGCAACCAGTTCGGTGGTGGTTGGAAGTTGGGTTAGGATTTATTTATTGTTTCTGCGTACCATATACGGTATGCAGGGTCCTCAATTGTGCATATATGATGCAAGGTTGAGGGTGAAATCGATTGACTGTGAATGAGCACCTTATATGCCTGTAACTAGATTCATGCACTGGACTAAAATCAATAAGAAATTTCTGCAATAATGATGAACTCTAGCTGTATAGCCGTAATGTTGAAACTAAATCCTGTTCTGTATTATCATGCAGACGATTTTTCAAAGGCCACAATCACAAGACATCAGAGTAATACTAAAGGGTATAAAGCGTGCGCCTGGCTACCCAGCTCGTTTCAGACAGTTCGCTGCCAGGCGTTTGTTTCAGGCGTCTGTCAAGCATCGAAGAATAGTTCCAGGATTTCCGTCCAAGTCGGCCGGTTTCCGTCCTCAATTTTCCCCAACATTCCGTTATAGTCGTAGTTGAGCGGTACATTGGATTCCGTTCAGGGTTCGTTTTAAGTTTTTTCAGGAATCCTCGGTTCTCTTTAGTAATTCCAGGTTTCTTCCGGCGTCTGTCTGCAAGCCGCCATGCCAGGCGCGGGGAGCGGCGGGGGAGGGGGAGGGGGGAGGGGGAGGGCTGCGCGTGAGCACGCTGAACGGCGTGAAGGTGTATAACGTGTCGGGCGGCAAGGCCGTGCCCGAGTGGATCTCGGACAAGAAGAAACGCGCCCTCAGGAAGGACGAAGGTACAGGATTAGGGTTGGGGTTTCGATCGTATGAGCGTAACAGTTGCGAACGGATCAGGGTCAGGGTTTCGAAGAAGTTAGGGTTAGGCTAGCGACCAAGGCCGTGCCCGAGTGGATCTCGGACAAGAAGAAACGCGCGCTCAGGAAGGACGAAGGTACAGGATCAGGGTTAGGGTTTCGAACGAAGCAGGGTTCGGGGTTTTGAGCGGGGAGGGGGAGGGGCCCTTAGGGCTGCGCGTGAGCACGCTTAACGGCGTGAAGGTGTATAACGTGTCGGGCGGCAAGGCCGTGCCCGAGTGGATCTCGGACAAGAAGAAACGCGCTCTCAGGAAGGACGAAGGTACAAAATTAGGGTCAGGGTTTCGAACGAAGCAGGGTTCGGGGTTTTGAGCGGAGAGGGGGAGGGGGAGGGGGGGGGGGGGGGGGAGGGGGGAGGGGGAGGGCTGCGCGTGAGCAAGCTGAACGGCGTGAAGGTGTATAACGTGTCGGGCGGCTGTGGATTTCGGACAAGAAGAAACGCGCTCTCAGGAAGGACGAAGGTACAGAATCAGGTCTAGGGTTTCGAACGAATCAGGGTTGGGGTTTTGAGCTCCGTCGCATTGGGTTCATTAGGAGATCGAGTTTCAAGTCGCCTCCACGCGAGTCAAGGCGTACTTTAGAGTCCCGCCTCACGAGCCATCCACTTTAGGCGCGCATATTCATGTATTCGTGCTGCGCCATGTGTTTGTGTGTGTGTGTGTGTGTGTGTGTGTGTGTGTGTGTGTGTGTGTGTGTGTGTGTGTGTGTGTGTGTGTTTCTGTCTCTCGTGGGAGTGTGCCCCCCTCCCCAGACTACCTCCGTCGCATTGAGCTCATTCAGGACCTCGAGTTCAAGGTCGCCTCAACGCGGATCAAGGCGTCTCGTGACGGCAAATACCTCCTCGCTTCAGGTGCGCCGAATATTCTGAAGCGTACAGTTGACTCTCTAAATCCTACTGAACATTCTCACATCAGGTGTGCTTGCAGACACTTCTTTGTGTGCGTTTCAGACTTCAGTAAGCGTTTACGTAGCCTATTATTGTGCTAAAACCTAACTGAGCCTCCACTGCTTTCCCATCCTCCCTCCTCATCCTCACCTCCTCATGTCCCCCGTCCCTTCTCCTCCGCCCTCCTGTCTCGATCCCCCTAGTTACCTCCCTCTCCTTGAAGCGCCTATATATCCCCCTAATATTCAGGCTCGTCTCTCTCACCTCCCCCCTCTTCCCCCCCTTCCCCAGGCGTGTACCCCCCCCAAGTGCGAGTGTATGAGCTGGCAGAGCTCTCCCTCAAGTTTGAGCGCAATCTGGACTCGGAAATCGTTGACTTTCAGGTACCTCTCTACTCACTCACTCACACACTCACTCACTCACTCACTTGCACACTCTCTCACACACATACACACATACACACATACACACATACACACATACACACATACACACATACACACACTCACTCACTCACTCACCCACCCATGCACTCGCACACCCGCACACTCACTTGCACACACTCCCTCACTCACTCACACGGTTTCCATTTTTGAGAGATAACAAAAATCCTCGCCAAGACTTCAGTAAGTTTTCGAGGCGTTTCAGAAATGCAGAGCCTGGACTCTCAAGTTGCTGCTGACTTGCAGCACACAATGGTAACCCTATGTGATCCACCCTATGCGCGTAACGGTGTGACCGCAATGGAGGTGCTGACAGACGACTACAGCAAGATTGCCTTTCTCTGTGCCGATCGCTCCGTGTGCTTCCATGCCAAGTTCGGAGCTTACTTCAAGACACGCATCCCCAGGTAAGCTTGTGTCCTACATGTACGTATAAACATATAAAAAACATTCTAAATTCCATGTCTAGTTCGGGGCTTACTTCAAGACACGCATCCCCAGGTAAGCTGACACTTGGTTCACACACGTCTTTGACACTTAATTGACACTTACGTGGCTCTTAGTCGACTCATGGCTGCACAATTTTCTCCCCGTGGCGTCTCGACTCAACTGCAGGATGGGCCGGGGGTTGGCATACGACGACCCGGCACTGTGTGACGTGACCTGCTGCTTGCTGCCTCCTCAATGTGCACCATCTCCCCTCCCCATGTGCTCTCTCTTCCCCCCCCTCCCTTCCATACTCCTCTCTCTTTGTGCAAAACCAACCCCAGGATGGGCCGGTGGTTGGCGTACGACGACCCGGCATTGTGTAACCTGCTGCTCGCTGCCTCCTCAACACACCACGCACCACCCCCCCCCCCTTCCCCCCGTGTGCTCTTTTGTCCCTTCTGTTCTCTCTCCTCTTCATGCTGTTTCAACCGCAGGATGGGCCGGGGATTGGCGTACGACCCAGCCTCGTGTGACCTGCTGCTTGCTGCTTCCTCGCCTGAGATTTACAGGATCAACCTGGAGCAGGTATGTGCAATGGACGTGATCACCAATTGACGTGATCACCAGTGGACGTGATCACCAGTAGACGTGATCACCAGTGGACGTGATCACCAGTGGACGTGATCACCAGTGGACGTGATCACCAGTAGACGTGATCACCAGTGGACGTGATCACCAGTAGACGTGATCACCAGTGGACGTGATCACCAGTGGACGTGATCACCAGTGGACGTGATCGGTCAAAATTCCTCCCATAGGCTGCCTGTGTGCTTAACACACTCTCTCACCTCCCAATTCCCTACACCCCTTTCTCTCTTCCCCCATTCACAAGGTCAGTTCCAGCAATCGCGGTCGCCAGCATTGAACGTGATCGGTCGAAGCCCCTCCCACGGGCTCATTGCATGTGGCGGGGAGGATGGTGCCCTGGGGTGGTTCGACAACCACCAGGCATCAACTTTCCCCCTTCCCTTCCCGATTACCCCCCTGCCTTCTCCCGTCCCCTCCCCTCCCTCTCTCCCACCCGCCCAACCACCCACACACCCCCTTTCTCTCCTCTCTCTCGCAGGGTCAGTTTCAGCAGTCCTTGCAATCGCGGTCGCCAGCAGTGAACGTGATCGGGCGAAGCCCCTCCCACGGGCTCATTGCCTGCGGGGGAGAGGACGGTGCCTTGGAGTGCTTCGACAACCGCCAAGCCTCGGCTGTGTCTCGCATCGATGCTGTGGGAGCTACTGGGAATGCCGAGCAGGTGAGAAGGAAGAGTCAATAGCTGTGTCTTCTAAGCGCACTGCTGTGATCTGCACGTCACACAACAAGTCACACAGCAAGTCACACAGCAAGTCACACAGCACGTCACACAGCACGTCACACAGCACGTCACACAGCAAGTCACACAGCACGTCACACAGCACGTCACACAGCAAGTCACACAGCACGTCACACAGCACGTCACACAGCACGTCACACAGCAAGTCACACAGCACGTCACACAGCACGTCACACAGCAAGTCACACAGCACGTCACACAGCACGTCACACAGCAAGTCACACAGCAAGTCACACAGCACGTCACACAGCACGTCACACAGCAAGTCACACAGCACGTCACACAGCACGTCACACAGCAAGTCACACAGCACGTCACACAGCACGTCACACAGCAAGTCACACAGCAAGTCACACAGCACGTCACACAGCACGTCACACAGCAAGTCACACAGCACGTCACACAGCACGTCACACAGCAAGTCACACAGCACGTCACACAGCAAGTCACCGCAGCGGGGAGATGCACCCTGTCATTGCCACGATCACAGATGCACGTTCCATTCTTCCCACTCCCCTCCCTCCCCCTCCCTCCTTCCCTGTGTCCTCTTTTTCAGCAAGTGACAGCAGTACGATTTGAAGACACTGAGGGCATGCATCTGGCTGTGGGCACGAGCACAGGGCAGGTAGGTGGGGCGAAAGAAGGATGAGAGGTCAAGTGAGAGCATTGGGAGAGGGAGGAGACCAGGATAGAGGAGGAATGGGGGATGGTAGTAGAAGAGATATGTCAAGGGACCAAGCTGTGGCACAAGCTGCTCTTTCCATTCCCCGCCCCTCCTCCCTTTTCCTCCTCATCCCCCAGTGAGACGAGGAGACGACCTCCATTCCTCCTCTGGTGTGCTTCAAGGCTGCGACCATCCGTCTCCCTCCCACCCTCTATTGTTCCCACTTGGGCTCGCCAATCACAGGTGTTGCTATACGACCTTCGTTCCTCCAAGCCCTACCGGATAAAGGACCACATGTGAGTTCCAGGGGAGGTGCTTGAGGGGGAGGTGCATCTGGGGGAGGGGCATGTGGGGGAGGTGCATGTGGGGGAGGTGCATGTGGGGGAGGTGCTTCTGGGGATGTTCTTATTGAGGGAGGTGCTTGTGAAGGTGGTGCTTGTGAGGTAAGGTGCTCCACATCCCTTCACTAGATGTCTCTACTCCCCCTTTCCTCTCCCCTCCACTCCATTCTCTCCCCACCTCGCCCCAACAGGTACGGTAGTCCCATTCACAGCATCAAATGGCACAGAGGCATAGCGGGGTCGTCACAGCACATCATCTCAACAGACAAGCGCATCATCAAGATCTGGAACCCCACCACGGTGTGTGTGTGCGTGCATTGGGCTAAACAGCTTAGGAGTCCTGCCACTGTGTGTGCCCGCCATGGGCTGAGAAGTATCTAGAGCATGACCATTACCGCACATCATCTCAACCGATAACCGCATCATCAAGATCTGGAACCCCTCCACGGTATTGTGCCATGCCATGCCATGCCATGGATGGGCCACGTACTGGTTAAGGTCATCGAGGACGTGTGTGTGATGCGAGGCAGCGGGCTGATTCTGAGAGTTTGATTGTAGGTGCCAATCTGATTCCCCTTTCCCTTGTCTGTCTCTTCCTCAGGGCACCAACGTGACAAGTGTGGAGCCAACTGAACCAGGAGGCATCAACGACGTGTGTGTGATGCGCGGCAGCGGGCTGATCGTGGCAGCCATGGACTCGCCTCGCCTGCAGGCATACTTCATCCCGTCTCTCGGTCCCGCCCCTCGCTGGTGCTCGTTCCTCGAGAACATTACTGTGAGTTGCGGGGTTTGGAAACATCTCGGGATTTGGGTTTCAGATTTTCAGATTTGGGTTTCATTTTTGGAGGCATCGCGGATTACAAGTTTGTGACGGGGAACGCGCTCCATGCTCTGAGACTCACCGAGCTGCCTTGCTGGTCCTTCCCTGTCACATGCTATTTCCCCTGCGTCCCACCAACAGGAGGAGTTGGAAGAAGGCGGAGCAGCGATGAACTATGATTACAAGTTTGTCCCACGGGAGGAGCTGCACACACTGAGGCTCACAGGGCTGCTTTTCTGCTTGTCACTCTCTCTTCCCCCTTACAAATCCTGCCCTGCTCCACAACAGGAGGAGTTGGAGGAGGGCGGGGCAGCGATGTACTATGACTACAAGTTCGTGAGGCTGCACCACACGGGAGGAGCTGCACACACTGAGGCTCACAGAGCTGCTTTGCTGCTGCTCTCTTGTTACTCTTCCCGCTTACAAATCTGGCTTGCTCCCAACAGGAGGAGTTGGAGGAGGGCGGGGCAGCGATGTACGATGACTACAAGTTTGTCACACGAGAGGAGCTGAACGCACTGAGGCTCACAGAGCTGCTGGGGACCAACCTGCTGCGCCCCTTTATGCACGGATTCTTCCTGCACTCGCGGCTGTATCATAAGGTATGTTGATTGTACCACAAGGGTCAACAGGTGTAGCAGGAAGTATTGTTGTTGTAGCCATACCATTGCGGACCAACCTGCTGCGCCCCTTCATGCACGGATTCTTCCTGCACTCGCTGCTGTACCACAAGGTATTTGTGGTTGTAGCACAAGGGTAGCATAAGGGTAGCACAAGGGTAGCACAAGGGTAGCACAAGGGTAGCATAAGGGTAGCACAAGGGTAGCACAAGGGTAGCACAAGGGTAGCACAAGGGTAGCACAAGGGTAGCACAAGGGTAGCACAAGGGTAGCACAAGGGTAGCACAAGGGTAGCACAAGGGTAGCACAAGGGTAGCACAAGGGTAGCACAAGGGTAGCACAAGGGTAGCACAAGGGTAGCACAAGGGTAGCACAAGGGTAGCACAAGGGTAGCACAAGGGTAGCACAAGGTAGTGTGGTTATTACAAGCCGTGCTGCATGCTCTGAGGCTGTCAGAGCTGCTGGTTCTTGCGCATTCCTCCGACCTTTGAGACATCTCAAAACTCTTTTTAGACATCTCAAAACTGACAGAGCTGCTGGTTCTTGAGCATTCTTCCAACCGGCCTCTCCTCTCTTCCTTCATTCTCTCAACCCCTCCATTCCTCACCCCCCCCCCCCCCCCCCCCCCCCCCAACCCCTCACCCACACAGGCCAAGTCCATAGCAGACCCATTCGCATGGGACACATACCGGCAGCAGAAGGTGAAGGAGAAGATCGAAGCACAGAGAGGCAGCCGCATATCGGTGAGTTGCCTGCAGCCGCATATGTCACGTGCCTGTATGTCACGTGCCTGTATGTCACGTGCCTGTATGTCGCGTGCCTGTATGTCACGTGCCTGTATGTCACGTGCCTGTATGTCGCGTGCCTGTATGTCCGTGCTGTATGTCACGTGCCTGTATGTCACGTGCCTGTATGTCACGTGCCTGTATGTCGCGTGCCTGTATGTCACGTGCCTGTATGTCGCGTGCCTGTATGTCACGTGCCTGTATGTCACGTGCCTGTATGTCGCGTGCCTGTATGTCGCGTGCCTGTATGTCACGTGCCTGTATGTCACGTGCCTGTATGTCGCGTGCCTGTATGTCACGTGCCTGTATGTCACGTGCCTGTATGTCGCGTGCCTGTATGTCGCGTGCCTGTATGTCGCGTGCCTGTATGTCGCGTGCCTGTATGTCACGTGCCTGTATGTCGCGTGCCTGTATGTCGCGTGCCTGTATGTCGCGTGCCTGTATGTCGCGTGCCTGTATGTCGCGTGCCTGTATGTCGCGTGCCTGTATGTCGCGTGCCTGTATGTCACGTGGCTGTATGTCACGTGGCTGTATGTCGCGTGGCTGTATGTCGCGTGCCTGTATGTCACGTGCCTGTATGTCGCGTGCCTGTATGTCGCGTGCCTGTATGTCGCGTGCCTGTATGTCGCGTGCCTGTATGTCACGTGCCTGTATGTCACGTGCCTGTATGTCGCGTGCCTGTATGTCGCGTGCCTGTATGTCACGTGCCTGTATGTCACGTGCCTGTATGTCGCGTGCCTGTATGTCGCGTGCCTGTATGTCGCGTGCCTGTATGTCGCGTGCCTGTATGTCGCGTGCCTGTATGTCGCGTGCCTGTATGTCGCGTGCCTGTATGTCGCGTGCCTGTATGTCGCGTGCCTGTATGTCGCGTGCCTGTATGTCACGTGCCTGTATGTCACGTGCCTGTATGTCGCGTGCCTGTATGTCACGTGCCTGTATGTCACGTGCCTGTATGTCGCGTGCCTGTATGTCGCGTGCCTGTATGTCGCGTGCCTGTATGTCGCGTGCCTGTATGTCACGTGCCTGTATGTCACGTGCCTGTATGTCGCGTGCCTGTATGTCGCATGCCTGTATGTCACGTGCCTGTATGTCGCGTGCCTGTATGTCGCGTGCCTGTATGTCACGTGCCTGTATGTCGCGTGCCTGTATGTCACGTGCCTGTATGTCGCGTGCCTGTATGTCACGTGCCTGTATGTCACGTGCCTGTATGTCACGTGCCTGTATGTCACGTGCCTGTATGTCACGTGCCTGTATGTCACGTGCCTGTATGTCGCGTGCCTGGCCTGCATCTCTGAATGTCGTCGTGCCCGTATGCCCGTTCGTTTGTATGTCTGATTGTTGTTGTTGGAAACCGTTCGTTTGTGAGACGTGTCAGAAGTCATTTCAGAGGACACACACCTGATGCAGCAGTTTTGAGGCGTCTCAAAACTCAAGTCATTTCAATTTTTGAGGCGCCTAAAAAATAAACTCAAGTCATTTCAAAGGGCATACAGCTGCTGATGCAGCAGAGTGGGTTGTGGCATCTCAGGACTCCTTTCCCTCCTATTTGCCTCGCTCCTTCTTCTCTTACCCTACCTCAATCCCACATCTGCAGTTGCAAAAGAAGCTTCCAAAGGTGAATGCGAAGTTGGCCGCGCAGCTGATGCAGCAGCGTGGGATAGTGGCGTTTGGAAATCTCTTGGCGTCTGGTCACACCTTGTTCCACCTGATGATGCCTTGCCCCGCGTTCTCACTCACTCCCTCAACCCTGCAGGTGCAAAAGAAGCTCCCCAAGGTGAATGCTAAGCTGGCAGCGCAGCTGATGCAGCAGAGTGTTTCTGTGTCATCTCAGAACCCCCTTCTCTCGTTTTTCCCTTGCTCCTTTCTCTCTGTCCCCTCTTTGCTCTCCCTCATCTGCAGTTGCAAAAGAAGCTTCCCAAGGTGAATGCCAAGCTGGCGGCGCAGCTGATGCAGCAGAGTGGGGCAGAGGGGGCGCGGGAGGAGGGTGGGGAGGACGAGGAGGAGGAGGAGGAGGAGGAGGGAGGGGCGGGTGGGAAGGCGCGGAAGCAGCGCAAGGCTGCTGCCAGTGCTCTGGCTGACCCGCGTTTCGCCTCTCTATTCACTGACCAGGTGAGAAGAAAGGAATTTCGCCGTCCGGTTCCCCACCCGGTTGATGGGTGTGAGTGAGATGAATGTGAGTGAGCCTGGAGCATTTTCGAGGCGCTTCCGACTCGCCTCGCTCTTTATTGATCAGGTGAGAAAGGGGTGAGAGTGGTTGCGGACAGTGGCTTGAGATGAGGAAGCAGTAGGAGCAGCAGGAAGGAGAAGGGGAGGGGATGGGTGGGAAGGCGTAGAAGCAGCGCAAGGCTGCTGCGAGTGCTCTGGCTGTCCCTGGCTTTGTCTCTCTATTCACTCATCAGGTGAGAAAGAGATAAGCAATTGTCGCATACGACATCCTTGGGTAGAGGGCAAGAGCCTTCATATATCGAGTCTCACCTCCCCTTGGCTGTCAAGCCTCGTTGACTTCTCTCGCTCTCTTGCCCTCCCTTTCATAATTTTATTGCAAGGCTTTCAAGTGGACGAGGAATTTCTCGAGTACATGGCACTACATAGTGGCATGGGGGGGGAAGCAGAGGAGAGGAGAGGAGAGGAGAGGAGAGGAGAGGAGAGGAGAGGGCCAGCATGGTCTAGCAAATGTCATCGCGATTTATCTATCCGTGTGTTTCATGTTCCTTCCGCTTTGTGCTGCTTCTCCCCTACAGGGCTTTCAAGTGGACGAGGAATTTCCGGAGTACATGGCGCTGCATGGGGGCATGCGGGGGGAGCGAAGGAGATGCAAGGGAAATCATAGAGCCCGCAGGCTTAGCAAGTAACATCACGATCTATCCATCCTTTGTGTGGTTTGCCTGTGCTATTTCTCCTCTGCAGGCGTTCCAAGTGGATGAGGACTCTCAAGAGTACATGGCGCTGCACGGGGGCATGCGGGGAGGAGCGGAGGAGAGGCGGCAGCAGCAGAAGAGGGATAAGGAGCTTCTAGAGGAGCACTTTGAAATGGTGGAAGGGGAGGAGGAGGAGGAGGAGGAGGAGGAGGAGGAGGAGGAGGAGGAGGAGGAGGAGGAGGAGGAGGAGGAGGAGGAGGAGGAGGAGGATGAGGGAGAGGAGGGGGGAGAGGAAGAGGAGAGGGGTGGAAGCGGGAAGAGGAGGTTGGTGCAGGGAGGAAAGGAGGAGGGTGTGTCACGGAAGAGAGGAGCCAAGGAGCCAAGGTAAAGCATTTGAGACAGAAATTACCGAGCTCCAAGCACCACACTAGTTCAGAACTTGAGATGGTTTTCTGGATCAAACACGTTGCAATCACACACAACTCCTTTCTTCACTGCACATGTTTTTTGCGATGTTTTTTGCTGTCCCTTTTCCCATTCCTTCCACTCTCACTCCCCCCCCCCTCCCCCCCCCCCCTCTCCACCCCCCTGCATCCCCTCAATGTCCACTCTCATCCCCCCTCTTCCCACTCTCAGGCTCTACGAAGCGAGAGACGACGTGCATGCAGCAGCCTTCAGAAACCGCCAAAGCCTCGCCGCCCAGAAGAACCTGCCCCTGGAGGAGAGAATCGCGCAGCTCCCGCGTTCGTCTGCTAGCAGTCAAGGCGCCGCCCACGGCGTTCCTGTAAGGAGGGCGGGCGGCGCGGTGGAGTTTACTGTTGCAATGCAATCAAGGAGACGAGGGGGTGGGAGAGGGGAGGGAAGGGGAGGAGGGAGAGGAGGCAGAGGCGAGGGAGGGAGAGGAGAGAGAAGAGGGCGGAGGGATGGGGGGGGTGACGGGAGGGAGGGGAGGGAGGGGAGGAGAGGGGTGCAGTCTTTGAGGCTACCATCTGAACGGCCTGCTTGGAGGGGAGGGAGAGGAGGGAGAGGGGGCAGGGGAGGACGTGGGAGAGGGAGGGGCCGTGGTGGGAGGCGTTGACCTGAGTCGGGAGGGAGAGTGATGCGAGTCAAATAGGAAAACGCCCGGAACGGTGGTGAAGTAGAGGAGTGGAGGTAGGTATAGTTACCGGGCTGGGACGGCATAAAATATGGGTGGTGTAGGGATAGTGGGGAGGAAAGGGGAGGGGGAGGAGGGGGGGGGGGGACATGATGGGATGGATGCCACAAGATAGGTTGTTTCATACAGTAGGTTGTCACAAGGATACCACCATGCAAATCATTAGCAATACCGTACCAACCAAACCTGGAAATGAAATGATCCATGCTTCTGTGGCCAAGCAGGATAACCTTATCACCTCAGATCTGGACTGTGAATAAAATTGATTCAGAAGAGTGTTGCACCACCGACATTTCTCCACGCCAGAGCCGAACTGGCAGGCAGTGCCTCTGGTATGTGTTTCGTGCGTCCGCGATTCGTTAGTGAATCGTGGTTTGGTCCCGCCGAAGCACATTTCGCGCGACGAAGACTGCTTCGTCCCAGGTCTGGTGATCGAAGTAGCACGACGCGGTCAGGTACGTCACTGCCAAACGCAGTCCAGGCCAACCAGTTCTTTCCTCGCCTCCAGCAAAAACTTGTGATTGACTGGGAGAACAGCAGGAGGTTCGGTACAGACCAGGCCTGCTTCGTCCCTGCAACGCACCTCAATCAGCATGCATTTTTAGTCGGTGCGTTCAGGAACTGGTCAGGTGACAAGGAACTCCATAGGATTCGCGTCGCATATCAATTTTGCTCTCCTATTTCCTATTACCCCTGCTCTGAGGAGGCCTAGTTGTGCATGTTTTAGGAACAACTTCATCGTATCTCACTCGAACAATCAGTCATTCCTAACCATAATCACACGAGACCAGACCTTAGCGTACCTAAATCTGCGGCCGAAGTCACGCGTGCCACTTCTGCGCCAGCCAACCTAGCTGCCTTGACGGTTCCGCAACGGATTGGGTATTATTTCTAAGCCCGCCAATTCATAACTCAATAGCCATTAGAGCCTGCGCCCTCATTATCCGCCTGAATTTCGCAGTCTAGGAGCACTTAATAGGTGTTGGCAGAGCTTGAGGGTCTATAGCCAATCTATAGCCTTTAGAACCATTCAGCATCACCACATCATTGTCTGTATTCAATAGAGCTGCTATGGCCAGAGAACCCGTATTCAGGCGACGAGGTGTGTGTTCACATGTAGCGAAATCTTACGTCCTTTTGTTGGTAACCACCGTCGCCGTTTCGCCCTTTGTTCGCGTCCACGCTCAAAATCCGCCGCCGTTGGAAAACAACACCGGTTTCCCCATCTGCCCGAATGGTAACCCGCCCGCGACACCCGCGGTCGCGCCGCTGCGATGCCCCGCGTATATCGGGATGACGTGCTGCGACAACTGCGAAGACGTGAACAGCGCGCTCTCATTGGCCAGCGCGAATCTGTACGACATCGTTCAGGCGCTGGACCCGAGCGTGATGTCGCAGATCCCCGTGGCGATTCTGGGCGACATCTCGCGCGACACGATGGTGAGTGTTGGCTTGATTGACTCCGTTGAACTGCATTCGTGGATCCCCGTGGCGATGCTGGGCGACATCCCGCGCGACACGATGGTGAGTGTTGACTGGGTTATTCAATGCGTTGACTTGGTCTAGACGCGTTGACTGAGTTGAATTGCATTGAACCGAGGTTTGGGGTTTCGTGACCACTTCTTCCCTCCCTTGGCCTCTCTTCCATCGCGTACCTCGTGCTCCTCCCCACATCCCTCCTTCCCCTCCTCTAGGTGTGCGACTCGATGGCGATGCAGCAGCAGTGCGGCCAGCTGCTCGAAGATCTCGTGTGCGACTTCACTTATTCTATTACCACTTACAACCGTACCACACCGCTCCTCATCCCCACCGAATCAGGTGTGCGACTCGATGGCGGTGCAGCAGCAGTGCGGCCAGCTGCTCGACGACCTCGTGTGCGCCGCCACGTGCGACCCCTACGCGGGCAGCTACGTGACGGTCAACGAGTTCGTGGGGTCGACGGAGGTGGCTGTGTGCCTCCGAGAGGCGGAGGCGGTCTTCGAGGCATGCAAGGACATCCTGTGTGAGTGTGTGGGTGTGAGTGTGTGGGTGTGAGCGTGTGGGTCTTAGTGTGTGGGTGTAAGTGTGTGGGTGTGTGGGTGTGAGTGAGTGTGTGAGTGCGAGTGTGTGGGTGTGAGTGTGTGGGTGTGAGCGTGTGGGTCTTAGTGTGCGGGTGTGAGTGTGTGAGTGTGAGTGTGTGGGTGTGAGCGTGTGGGTCTTAGTGTGTGGGTGTAAGTGTGTGGGTGTGTGGGTGTGAGTGAGTGTGTGAGTGCGAGTGCGTGGGTGTGAGTGTGTGGGTGTGAGCGTGTGGGTCTTAGTGTGTGGGTGTAAGTGTGTGGGTGTGTGGGTGTGAGTGAGTGTGTGAGTGCGAGTGTGTGGGTGTGAGTGTGTGGGTGTGAGCGTGTGGGTCTTAGTGTGCGGGTGTGAGTGTGTGAGTGTGAGTGTGTGGGTGTGAGCGTGTGGGTCTTAGTGTGTGGGTGTAAGTGTGTGGGTGTGTGGGTGTGAGTGAGTGTGTGAGTGCGAGTGCGTGGGTGTGAGTGTGTGGGTGTGAGCGTGTGGGTCTTAGTGTGTGGGTGTAAGTGTGGGTGTGTGGGTGTGAGTGAGTGTGTGAGTGCGAGTGTGTGGGTGTGAGTGTGTGGGTGTGAGCATGTGGGTCTTAGTGTGTGGGTATAAGTGTGTGGGTGTGTGGGTGTGAGTGAGTGTGTGAGTGCGAGTGTGTGGGTGTGAGTGTGTGGGTGTGAGCGTGTGGGTCTTAGTGTGTGGGTGTAAGTGTGTGGGTGTAAGTGTGTGGGTGTGTGGGTGTGAGTGAGTGTGTGAGTGCGAGTGTGCGGGTGTGAGTGTGTGGGTGTGAGCGTGTGGGTCTTAGTGTGCGGGTGTGAGTGTGTGAGTGTGAGTGTGTGGGTGTGAGCGTGTGGGTCTTAGTGTGTGGGTGTAAGTGTGTGGGTGTGTGGGTGTGAGTGAGTGTGTGAGTGCGAGTGCGTGGGTGTGAGTGTGTGGGTGTGAGCGTGTGGGTCTTAGTGTGTGGGTGTAAGTGTGTGGGTGTGTGGGTGTGAGTGAGTGTGTGAGTGCGAGTGTGTGGGTGTGAGTGTGTGGGTGTGAGCATGTGGGTCTTAGTGTGTGGGTATAAGTGTGTGGGTGTGTGGGTGTGAGTGAGTGTGTGAGTGCGAGTGTGTGGGTGTGAGTGTGTGGGTGTGAGCGTGTGGGTCTTAGTGTGTGGGTGTAAGTGTGTGGGTGTAAGTGTGTGGGTGTGTGGGTGTGAGTGAGTGTGTGAGTGCGAGTGTGCGGGTGTGAGTGTGTGGGTGTGAGCGTGTGGGTCTTAGTGTGCGGGTGTGAGTGTGTGAGTGTGAGTGTGTGGGTGTGAGCGTGTGGGTCTTAGTGTGTGGGTGTAAGTGTGTGGGTGTGTGGGTGTGAGTGAGTGTGTGAGTGCGAGTGCGTGGGTGTGAGTGTGTGGGTGTGAGCGTGTGGGTCTTAGTGTGTGGGTGTAAGTGTGTGGGTGTGTGGGTGTGAGTGAGTGTGTGAGTGCGAGTGTGTGGGTGTGAGTGTGTGGGTGTGAGCGTGTGGGTCTTAGTGTGCGGGTGTGAGTGTGTGAGTGTGAGTGTGTGGGTGTGAGCGTGTGGGTCTTAGTGTGTGGGTGTAAGTGTGTGGGTGTGTGGGTGTGAGTGAGTGTGTGAGTGCGAGTGCGTGGGTGTGAGTGTGTGGGTGTGAGCGTGTGGGTCTTAGTGTGTGGGTGTAAGTGTGTGGGTGTGTGGGTGTGAGTGAGTGTGTGAGTGCGAGTGTGTGGGTGTGAGTGTGTGGGTGTGAGCGTGTGGGTCTTAGTGTGCGGGTGTGAGTGTGTGAGTGTGTGAGTGTGAGTGTGTGGGTGTGAGCGTGTGGGTCTTAGTGTGTGGGTGTAAGTGTGTGGGTGTGTGGGTGTGAGTGAGTGTGTGAGTGCGAGTGCGTGGGTGTGAGTGTGTGGGTGTGAGCGTGTGGGTCTTAGTGTGTGGGTGTAAGTGTGGGTGTGTGGGTGTGAGTGAGTGTGTGAGTGCGAGTGTGTGGGTGTGAGTGTGTGGGTGTGAGCATGTGGGTCTTAGTGTGTGGGTATAAGTGTGTGGGTGTGTGGGTGTGAGTGAGTGTGTGAGTGCGAGTGTGTGGGTGTGAGTGTGTGGGTGTGAGCGTGTGGGTCTTAGTGTGTGGGTGTAAGTGTGTGGGTGTAAGTGTGTGGGTGTGTGGGTGTGAGTGAGTGTGTGAGTGCGAGTGTGCGGGTGTGAGTGTGTGAGTGTGAGTGTGTGGGTGTGAGCGTGTGGATCTTAGTGTGTGGGTGTAAGTGTGTGGGTGTGTGGGTGTGAGTGAGTGTGTGAGTGCGAGTGCGTGGGTGTGAGTGTGTGGGTGTGAGCGTGTGGGTCTTAGTGTGTGGGTGTAAGTGTGTGGGTGTGTGGGTGTGAGTGAGTGTGTGAGTGCGAGTGTGTGGGTGTGAGTGTGTGGGTGTGAGCGTGTGGGTCTTAGTGTGTGGGTGTAAGTGTGCGGGTGTGTGGGTGTGAGTGAGTGTGTGAGTGCGAGTGTGTGGGTGTGAGTGTGTGGGTGTGAGCGTGTGGGTCCTAGTGTGCGGGTGTGAGTGTGGGTGTGAGTGTGTGGGTGTGAGCGTGTGGGTCTTAGTGTGTGGGTGTAAGTGTGTGGGTGTGTGGGTGTGAGTGAGTGTGTGAGTGCGAGTGTGTGGGTGTGAGTGTGTGGGTGTGAGCGTGTGGGTCTTAGTGTGTGGGTGTAAGTGTGTGGGTGTGTGGGTGTGTGGGTGTGAGTGAGTGTGTGAGTGCGAGTGTGTGGGTGTGAGTGTGTGGGTGTGAGCGTGTGGGTCTTTGTGTGCGGGTGTGAGTGTGTGGGTGTGAGTGTGTGGGTGTGAGCGTGTGGGTCTTAGTGTGTGGGTGTAAGTGTGTGGGTGTGTGGGTGTGAGTGAGTGTGTGAGTGCGAGTGTGTGAGTGCGAGTGTGTGGGTGTGAGTGTGTGGGTGTGAGCGTGTGGGTCTTAGTGTGCGGGTGTGAGTGTGTGGGTGTGAGTGTGTGGGTGTGAGCGTGTGGGTGTGAGTGTGTGGGTCTTAGTGTGTAGGTGTGAGTGTGTGGGTGTGTGGGTGTGAGTGAGTGTGTGAGTGCGAGTGTGTGGGTGTGAGTGTGTGGGTGTGAGCGTGTGGGTCTTAGTGTGCGGGTGTGAGTGTGTGGGTGTGAGTGAGTGTGTGGGTGCGAGTGTGTGGGTGTGAGGGTGTGGGTGTGAGTGTGTGGGTGTGAGTGTGTGGGTGTGAGGGTGTGGGTGTGAGTGTGTGGGTGTGAGTGTGTGGGTGTGAGTGTGTGGGTGTGAGTGTGTGTGAGTGTGTGGGTCTGATACAAAGCATGCAAGGATATCCTGTGTGAGTGTGTGAGAGCGCGTGGGTGGGAGTGCGGGTGTGCGCCTTCGTGTCTGTGTGTTGACAAGATCAACACATGGCAACTTTTGAGGCGCCTAAAAAATGTCTTTGTGTTGACAAGATCAACACATGGCAAGCGCATGTAAGAGGCACACGCCGTCTGTGAGAACATGCAAGGACATGCCGTGTGAGGGGGGAGCCTGAGTCTGTGCAACGACAAAGTCTGAGTCCAAGTCCAGGGTTTTGTAAAATCTAAAAAAAGGCACACAGACAAGGCAAGGATATATTCTGTGTGAGTCTGTGTCAGTTTGACAATGTCTACTTGTGAGCCGCCTGAGAACAAGGCAAGGATATTCTGTGTGTGTGTGTGTGTCAGTTTGCTATTGTCCGTGCACTCCCCTTGCTTGAATCTGTCTGTCGTGCACTTTTTTTCCCCCTAAGCCCTTCCTCCCCAGCCCCCTTTACCCTCCTCCCTTTTTCCCCCTCCTTTTCCCCCCTCCCCCCCTCCCCCCCCCCCCCCCCCTCCCCTCCTACTTTCCTCCCCTCCTTTTCCCCCCTCCCATTCCAGTCATTTCCACGTCGAAAGGCGCAACCCTTGATCTCACGCCGTACTTCCCTGACGCGCGCACCTTCATGACTCAAATCATGGGGGGCATTCTGCGGGTTGTCATGGGCAACGACAAGGTCCAAATCGTCCTCACCAGTGTAAGTCCTGCTATAGGCATTACATATACGTAACCATTTGCATAAAATGAGTGTATCAAAATCATAAAAGAAAACAAAACCTACGCATGAGTGGCGATGTGCAATTATACAGAACAAATAGGTGTGACCAGCACACATGTTTTTCGTTTTTTTTTTTTTTTTTTTTCCTACATCAAAGAATTTATCATCTTCTATTGTGTTTAGAATTCTCAGTCGTGGCTGGTGATGGGAAAGACCCTAGTCAGGTTCACCAGCACAAGCATCGTACATTCTTAGAGGCAACCCGTTAAGTCCCAATTCCGTTTCCTTATCACAATCCCTTTTTCCCATTTCGGGCCAACTGCATAGCAGGCAGCACCAACGTCTACCCCCATGCCTGCTATGCAGTTGACCCGAATCCTGTTTCGACACCTTCTCTTCAGTCCCCGACTCGTGCCCAGTCACCAACGAATTCAGAAGCCTGCTTCATCGCCCGCGCCCCACTATTCTCTCTCCTCTTCTTTGCCTTAACCTGCATCCCACCCTCTCCGCCCTTTTCCCCATCCCCACTTTCAGACCAATTGCATAGCAGGCAACACCAACGTCTACCCCGAGGCCACATCCTGCTGTGACACCTTCTCTTCAGTCCCCGACACATGCACAGTCCCCAACGAGTTCACAGACCTGCTCAGCCGCCCCACTCCCCCCGCCTGCCTTGCTGCCACCACCACCCTTCCCGTCAGCACCCCCGTTCCTGCCCCCACCCCTGCTGTTAGCCCTGTCCCTTCCACTTCCCCTGTTCCTGTTGTACCTGCTTTTCCCAGCACTGCTGCTCCTCGGGCTTCCCCCAGAATCTCACCCACTCCCTCAGTGCCCAAAGCACCATCTCTACCTTCCTCTCCCTTTCCCCCTGCCCCCACTACTCCCTCTCCTTCATTGGACTCCTCTTCACCTCCCTCGCCCTCCCCACCTCCCCCTCCCTCTCCTCCCAAAGCTGCTTCCCCTCCTCCTGCTGCTGCTTTTCTATACATTATAAGCTGCCTCGTTTGTGGGGTGATGGCACTGCTCGCGCCTGCACTCCTTGTCTGATGAAAAGATGCACACTGCAACTACCACTATGGAATGTGATTGATTCAACACTAGGCGCTTATCGTGTGCTTTTGGACATAGTGTACCGTAAGTGTTGTTTGGGTTGTTTCAATATTCTTGAAAGAATGCTGTGTTGAATTCATTAAAACCAGTTAATTGCTGGCCGAGTTGGAAAAATTACCGCATTCATATCGAACCGAGGCCAACCCAAAAGCCCGTCTACCGTGATTATGTAGCCTTTTGGAATATATTCAGTTGTACAACTTAGTAGAAGCTGCTTTCCGTGCGTTTTTGCACAATGGTAGGCCCATGCCATAATTGGGACAATATTCAACGAGGGAGGAGACAGCTGCAGGTGTGGTGACTGGAGGGCTACTGGGACACTGCGGAAGCAAGGGGGCAGTGGGGAGGGGAAGGGGGGCGAAGCAGAGGAAGGGGGTTGAGGAAAGGAATGAGGGGAGGGAGGGGGGGAAAGAGGGGGGGGGAGGAGTAAGCCTATCAGCCAGTGTGGTGACTGGAGGGCTGCTGGGATACTGTGGAAGCAGGGGCAGTGGGGAGGGGAAGGGGGGCGAAGCATAGGAAAGGGGGAAAGGAGATGGTAGAAGGAATGAGAGGGGGAGAAAGTAAGCCTGTCTGCCAGTGTGGCGACTGGAGGGCTGCTGGGGCACTGCGGAAGCAGGGGGGCAGGAGGGGGGGAAGGAGGGCGAAGCAGAGGAACGGGGGAAAGGGAGATAGAAGAGATGAGGGGAAGGAAAAAAGCAGGTAGCACTTTTGTTTTGGCACCTCAAAACCAGCCTGAGCAGGTCAGAATAGTGCCTTCTCACAGATAGTTTCGAAAGGAGGACGAAGCTCACCTGAATATGTCTTGACTTGGCATCAAATATCGAGAGGTAGCAAGGCTCGGGGGAGGTTCGGGAGCAGGAGGCTCGGTTCTTCTTGCGCCAGTTGCTGTGGTAGCAGGTAACGATGTTGAGAGAGTAGGGTCGAACGCCCGCCAGCCCTGCTGCTATGTAGCCGAATGTGGATGTGTCTGTGATTAGTAGCGTGTCACTGGGGGGCGGGAGGAGAGGCAGGAGAAGTGGGGGGAGAGTGCACACACACAAGTGCACACACACAAGTGCACTCACACAAGTGCACTCACACAAGTGCACACACACAAGTGCACTCACACAAGTGCACTCACACAAGTGCACTCACACAAGTGCACTCACACAAGTGCACACACACAAGTGCACTCACACAAGTGCACTCACACAAGTGCACTCACACAAGTGCACTCACACAAGTGCACACACACAAGTGCACTCACACAAGTGCACTCACACAAGTGCACTCACACAAGTGCACACACACAAGTGCACTCACACAAGTGCACTCACACAAGTGCACTCACACAAGTGCACTCACACAAGTGCACTCACACAAGTGCACTCACACAAGTGCACTCACACAAGTGCACTCACACAAGTGCACTCACACAAGTGCACTCACACAAGGCACCACACAAGTGCACTCACACAAGTGCACTCACACAAGTGCACTCACACAAGTGCACTCACACAAGTGCACACACACAAGTGCACTCACACAAGTGCACTCACACAAGTGCACTCACACAAGTGCACTCACACAAGTGCACACACACAAGTGCACTCACACAAGTGCACTCACACAAGTGCACTCACACAAGTGCACTCACACAAGTGCACACACACAAGTGCACTCACACAAGTGCACTCACACAAGTGCACTCACACAAGTGCACTCACACAAGTGCACTCACACAAGTGCACACACACAAGTGCACTCACACAAGTGCACTCACACAAGTGCACACACACAAGTGCACTCACACAAGTGCACTCACACAAGTGCACTCACACAAGTGCACTCACACAAGTGCACACACACAAGTGCACTCACACAAGTGCACTCACACAAGTGCACTCACACAAGTGCACTCACACAAGTGCACTCACACAAGTGCACTCACACAAGTGCACTCACACAAGTGCACTCACCACAAGTGCACTCACACAAGTGCACTCACACAAGTGCACTCACACAAGTGCACTCACACAAGGCACTCACACAAGTGCACTCACACAAGTGCACTCACACAAGTGCACTCACACAAGTGCACTCACACAAGTGCACTCACACAAGTGCACTCACACAAGTGCACTCACACAAGTGCACACACACAAGTGCACTCACACAAGTGCACTCACACAAGTGCACTCACACAAGTGCACTCACACAAGTGCACTCACACAAGTTCACTCACACAAGTGCACTCACACAAGTGCACTCACACAAGTGCACACACACAAGTGCACTCACATAAGTGCACTCACACAAGTGCACTCACACAAGTGCACTCACACAAGTGCACACACACAAGTGCACTCACACAAGTGCACTCACACAAGTGCACTCACACAAGTGCACTCACACAAGTGCACTCACACAAGTGCACACACACAAGTGCACTCACACAAGTGCACTCACACAAGTGCACTCACACAAGTGCACTCACACAAGTGCACTCACACAAGTGCACTCACCCAAGTGCACACACACAAGTGCACTCACACAAGTGCACTCACACAAGTGCACTCACACAAGTGCACTCACACAAGTGCACACACACAAGTGCACTCACACAAGTGCACTCACACAAGTGCACTCACACAAGTGCACTCACACAAGTGCACACACACAAGTGCACTCACACAAGTGCACTCACACAAGTGCACTCACACAAGTGCACACACACAAGTGCACTCACACAAGTGCACTCACACAAGTGCACTCACACAAGTGCACTCACACAAGTGCACTCACATAAGTGCACTCACACAAGTGCACTCACACAAGTGCACTCACACAAGTGCACTCACACAAGTGCACTCACACAAGTGCACTCACACAAGTGCACACACACAAGTGCACTCACACAAGTGCACTCACACAAGTGCACTCACACAAGTGCACTCACACAAGTGCACTCACACAAGTGCACTCACACAAGTGCACTCACACAAGTGCACACACACAAGTGCACACACACAAGTGCACACACACAAGTGCACTCACACAAGTGCACTCACACAAGTGCACTCACACAAGTGCACTCACACAAGTGCACTCACACAAGTGCACTCACACAAGTGCACTCACACAAGTGCACTCACACAAGTGCACTCACACAAGTGCACTCACACAAGTGCACACACACAAGTGCACTCACACAAGTGCACTCACACAAGTGCACTCACACAAGTGCACTCACACAAGTGCACACACACAAGTGCACTCACACAAGTGCACTCACACAAGTGCACTCACACAAGTGCACTCACACAAGTGCACTCACACAAGTGCACACACACAAGTGCACTCACACAAGTGCACTCACACAAGTGCACTCACACAAGTGCACCACACAAGTGCACTCACACAAGTGCACTCACACAAGTGCACTCACACAAGTGCACTCACACAAGTGCACTCACACAAGTGCACTCACACAAGTGCACTCACACAAGTGCACACACACAAGTGCACTCACACAAGTGCACTCACACAAGTGCACTCACACAAGTGCACTCACACAAGTGCACTCACACAAGTGCACTCACACAAGTGCACTCACACAAGTTGCACTCACACAAGTGCACTCACACAAGTGCACACACACAAGTGCACTCACACAAGTGCACTCACACAAGTGCACTCACACAAGTGCACTCACACAAGTGCACTCACACAAGTGCACTCACACAAGTGCACTCACACAAGTGCACTCACACAAGTGCACTCACACAATGTGCACTCACACAAGTGCACTCACACAAGTGCACACACACAAGTGCACTCACACAAGTGCACTCACACAAGTGCACTACCAACACCAGTGCACTCACACAAGTGCACTCACACAAGTGCACTCACACAAGTGCACTCACACAAGTGCACTCACACAAGTGCACACACACAAGTGCACTCACACAAGTGCACTCACACAAGTGCACTCACACAAGTGCACTCACACAAGTGCACACACACAAGTGCACTCACACAAGTGCACTCACACAAGTGCACTCACACAAGTGCACTCACACAAGTGCACTCACACAAGTGCACTCACACAAGTGCACACACACAAGTGCACTCACACAAGTGCACTCACACAAGTGCACTCACACAAGTGCACTCACACAAGTGCACTCACACAAGTGCACTCACACAAGTGCACTCACACAAGTGCACTCACACAAGTGCACTCACACAAGTGCACTCACACAAGTGCACTCACACAAGTGCACTCACACAAGTGCACTCACACAAGTGCACTCACACAAGTGCACTCACACAAGTGCACTCACACAAGTGCACTCACACAAGTGCACTCACACAAGTGCACTCACACAAGTGCACTCACACAAGTGCACTCACACAAGTGCACTCACACAAGTGCACTCACACAAGTGCACTCACACAAGTGCACTCACACAAGTGCACTCACACAAGTGCACACACACAAGTGCACTCACACAAGTGCACTCACACAAGTGCACTCACACAAGTGCACTCACACAAGTGCACTCACACAAGTGCACACACACAAGTGCACTCACACAAGTGCACTCACACAAGTGCACTCACACAAGTGCACTCACACAAGTGCACTCACACAAGTGCACTCACACAAGTGCACTCACACAAGTGCACTCACACAAGTGCACTCACACAAGTGCACTCACACAAGTGCACTCACACAAGTGCACTCACACAAGTGCACTCACACAAGTGCACTCACACAAGTGCACTCACACAAGTGCACTCACACAAGTGCACTCACACAAGTGCACTCACACAAGTGCACTCACACAAGTGCACTCACACAAGTGCACTCACACAAGTGCACTCACACAAGTGCACTCACACAAGTGCACTCACACAAGTGCACTCACACAAGTGCACTCACACAAGTGCACTCACACAAGTGCACTCACACAAGTGCACTCACACAAGTGCACTCACACAAGTGCACTCACACAAGTGCACTCACACAAGTGCACACACACAAGTGCACTCACACAAGTGCACTCACACAAGTGCACTCACACAAGTGCACTCACACAAGTGCACTCACACAAGTGCACTCACACAAGTGCACTCACACAAGTGCACTCACACAAGTGCACACACACAAGTGCACTCACACAAGTGCACTCACACAAGTGCACTCACACAAGTGCACTCACACAAGTGCACTCACACAAGTGCACTCACACAAGTGCACTCACACAAGTGCACTCACACAAGTGCACTCACACAAGTGCACTCACACAAGTGCACTCACACAAGTGCACACACACAAGTGCACTCACACAAGTGCACTCACACAAGTGCACTCACACAAGTGCACTCACACAAGTGCACTCACACAAGTGCACTCACACAAGTGCACCTCACACAAGTGCACTCACACAAGTGCACTCACACAAGTGCACTCACACAAGTGCACTCACACAAGTGCACTCACACAAGTGCACTCACACAAGTGCACACACACAAGTGCACTCACACAAGTGCACTCACACAAGTGCACTCACACAAGTGCACTCACACAAGTGCACTCACACAAGTGCACTCACACAAGTGCACTCACACAAGTGCACTCACACAAGTGCACTCACACAAGTGCACTCACACAAGTGCACTCACACAAGTGCACTCACACAAGTGCACTCACACAAGTGCACTCACACAAGTGCACTCACACAAGTGCACTCACACAAGTGCACTCACACAAGTGCACTCACACAAGTGCACTCACACAAGTGCACTCACACAAGTGCACTCACACAAGTGCACTCACACAAGTGCACTCACACAAGTGCACTCACACAAGTGCACTCACACAAGTGCACTCACACAAGTGCACTCACACAAGTGCACTCACACAAGTGCACTCACACAAGTGCACTCACACAAGTGCACTCACACAAGTGCACTCACACAAGTGCACTCACACAAGT